TAAGCTGTTGACTAATGATATTTAATTGTTTCAATATAGGGTACAGACAGGGACCGGTCGGCAGTCCAGGTAACTTCTTAAACGTCCCTCTGATCTCAGCTAATTGCTAACCTTCCACGTTCATCTCTGATCTGCATGCATTCACTTCTTGTCAGTCTGTCTGTCAGTACTTCTGATCCTGTAGATTCCTCGGCCTGTGATTGTTGCTGCTCTTCTAAGGTGGTGTGGTTGCATGCTAACATGGGTGCTGGAGCTCCACCTTGTGAGGGAGCCAGGGGCCGCGTACGACGGAGGAATGCATCGTAGTGGCCTTTAAAAAAATAATAATAATTCCTCCCCCCCCCCCGAGCTGCATTGCATCGCTGTAACAGTTTTGCATCTGTTAAGGTTGGCTTGTCAAGGTAACAAGCAGGAAAGTCTGCAGCGGTTAACAAGAACCTCAACATCTTTATATGACTGCTGTTTGTAAGAGGCCCTTTAGTCGGGGCAGAGGAAGATCCCGGCTGATAAATCTGACTCTGCCGTGGAAATAACGTTTTTTTAATGCCGTGTTTGGCACCCGCTGCTTGAGGAAGTTGTACGGCCCTCTCCCCACCCCCCCCCCCCCACCCTCACCGCCTTCCAAATATCACTTGCCATGTCCTTATCCAATCAGTGTTTCTGTTATATCAGCCTTTGTCCCAGCTCCACCCGTGTCTTCGGTCTCTGCTCCGTCCTCCGTGCCTCAAGTTCATCCTCCGCCTCCCATGGATGATGAGCCAGCCTCCAAGAAACTCAAGTCTGAAGACAGCCTGATGCCAGAGGAAGAGTTTTTACGCAGGAACAAGGTGCGTGTCAACTCATAGAATATTTCTCTGGTCTTTTACAAGTTGCCAACAGAAAGGGAGGGAAGAGCAGCACGGTAGCTTGGAAACCAAAAGTGCATTCCGTAAGAATGAGTTTATTGGATGTACCATATTGGCAGAGTTTTCCTCCTAATTAAATGTTTTTTAAAAAATCACTTTCTCAAAACAATCAGTCACACGGTCCAATCAGGATACTGTCCAGTTGCTAAGTGACTCCAGTCCCCTCCTCCTGAGCACCTGCAAAAATGTCCTTGGTTCCCAACAGAAAGTATTTTGGTTTTTTGGTTTTTAAATTTTTAAATTTGTTTGTTCAAAGTTTCAAGAAAAAAAAAATTTTTTTAAAAAGAGAAACATGTTCTCACATTTTGCAGCGTTTTCATAACAGTGTACATTTCTATTAGTGTCAGTTAAAGTCATTTGCTACAAGTACATGTTATTTCATAAATCCTTATGTTATTATTACATTATAATACAGTATATTACTTTACATACGTACATAGCTATATATACATTTATCCTTATTCCTATTTTTCCTTGATATTTCTTTAATCATTTACACAAGGTACCTTTACTTCCTTTTTATTCAGCCATTTGTACCATATATTCCTTATTGTAAAGAAACCTCCCACCAAGAGAAAGTATTTTGTTTTCACTAATTTCCCCTCTCCCTGTGTGTCAGTCTAGCCACCTTCAGTTCTATTCAGTTAGTCCTCGACTTATGACTGCAATAGAGCCCACAAATTTGGTTATAAGTCATGACAGCCATCAATGGAACACTTACAGAGGGGAGGCAGCTGGAACGAGACTTTCTTAAAAACAGTCCAGAAAGGGCTGTTGTTACATTTAAAACTCAATTTCAATGATTTTTTTTTTCTTGATTCTCCTCTCTTCTCCTCTCCTCTCGACTCCTCCAGGGTCCAGTCACTGTCAAAGTCCAAGTCCCCAACATGCAGGACAAAACGGAATGGAAGCTGAGCGGCCAAGTCCTAGTGTTCACCCTTCCACTCTCCGACCAGGTGCGTAGATCAGCCAGGTGGAAAAAGAGCCCCTTTAGTGGCCGTTCAAAGTTACGATGTCGGAAGTGTTGGGCTCCATTGTGGCCATAAGTGGAGGGCGCCCTGCCATGGAGGGGTTCTGGGAATCGTAGTCCATACTCTTGCAAACCTCTGTATGGTTTGCCAAATTGTACCGTGGCAGCTGGGACGGCGCTCCAGAGGGTTAACGTCATTGCCCAGAAGATCCTGGGTTGCCCTCTCCCCTCTTGGGAACAGCTTTACAGCAATGGTGAGGTTCAATTTTTTTTAGTACCGGTTCTGTGGGCGCGGCTTGGTGGGGCGTGGCAGGGGAAGGATACTGTAAAATCTCCGGTCAGAGGCGGTATTTGCCGGTTCTCCGAACTACTCAAAATTTCCGCTACCGGTTCTCCAGAACTGGTCAGAACTTGCTGAAGACCACCTCTGCTTTAGAGCTCCCACTGCCTTAAGAAAGTTCAAAACATCCCCAAACGTCCATCTCATCCTGAGCACCCCCTTTTTGGGGGGGGTGGGGAACTATTACCATCTTGTAGCCGGTACAGGACAATAATAAAAACAAGGACAAATAGGCTGAAAAACAGCTTCTATCCCAGGGCAGCAACTCTTGTTGAATTCCACTGCATAGTGCAACACTAATGCAATCTTGGGGGGGGGGGGGGGTTAAATTCATTGTGTAGAATGTGAGAGAGGTTTTCATAGTCATAAATTATACACTGAAGAAGGTATTCAATTTTGTGGTATGAGATGCAATGACAATAAAGTAAATAGCACAAAAACACCGTGACCCAGACAGTGATGGGTTTCTTACCAAACCCAGTTATTTCTGGGCCCAGCTTAACCAACTCGATCTGAGTCCCGGAGAAGCCCCAAACCAATGTAGCTTCAAATGGCCATGAAATGAATGGTTGTAAGTCAAGGAGTTCTTTTGTGTTTAAAACACAGTCAGGTTCATCGGGGTGTTTCTTAACTGCCCATTGTGGCAAAATCCTGGGGGCTTTTTTTTTTTTTGACTCTTTCCTGATGCTTGTACCACGTTCTTCTAAAGAGCGTCTCTTTTCTTTGGCAGGTTTCTGTAATCAAGGTGAAGATTCACGAGGCCACGGGAATGCCTGCTGGGAAACAGAAGCTCCAGTACGAGGTGAGTCACCTGGCCTGTTGTGGCCCACCAGCAGCGGCAGAGTTGGACAGTGAGGACGTTGGGGAGGAACACGGGCCAGTCCCGGAGGCTGAGGAAGGCTTGGGCGAGGGCTCTACGTCAGAGGCAGAAATGGGGCCAGCGCCGTCTGGCAGTTATTAACTGCCTTCGGAGTCAGACATCAGTGAGGCAGAAGAACAGCTGGAGCCTGTTCCCAGTGTGCGTATGCGCAGAGCCGCCCGACGAAGGGAACAGCCTTGGGAGTAAAGCCACAGGTGGACGGTGAACGGCCCCTCCCCGGGGGAATAAAAGACCAAAAGGGGAGGGCGCTTTTGCAGGAAACAATTGGTTCGTTGCAGAGGTGTGAAGATCTGTTTGTGCGTTGTGCAATAAGGTCGCATAGTGTAATAAGATTGGGACTGGGTTAGGGGCTTCTGTCCTCGCTGTGAGTTGTGTTGGGTGCGTGCGCGTGTGCGCAAAGGGAGGCTCAGCCAATCTCACTGTATACATGTTGTACTCCTGACCGTAAAAGGGTAATAATAATCCTGAAATGGGGTCTTGTGTCTTTCAGGGCATCTTCATCAAAGATTCCAACTCCTTGGCTTACTACAACATGACCAGCGGATCGGTCATCCACCTGGCCCTCAAAGAGAGAGGGGGCAGGAAGAAGTGAGCAACCCGCTCCGGCATGATGCGCAGCCAGGTGCTTTGACTTCACCGTCTGAGTTGCAACCGGGCTGTTGTGTCTCCGTCGGGGCTGTTTTCTTGGCCCCGTGCATTTATTCTATTTTTTTATTTTGGTAATCCAGCGTCTAGAGGAAATTGAGCGTACCCATACTGTCATCGTGAAGATTTGGCCTAATCCCCTGTTACTCTCAGTAGCTTGTGATGTGTTTTGTAGTGAGTTTGTGTTCCAGCAAAGTGCTTGGTTTAATTCCTCACCGGGGGTCTTTTTCCCCTAGTGGCCAAACCCATTTAGGGTCTGGCTTTCATGTGTCTTAAGATTAGTTGGGTGGATCTGCTTTGGTTCAGAGTCTTTTTACCTGTTGGGTGAAGCAGTTCGTTTAATTTTCTCTGGACGAGCAGATTAATAAAGACTTCTTGTTGATTTCCCACTCGAACCCTTGTCAGATCTCGATCGATGATACATACGCGGCTGTTCTTTGTCTCGCATGAGTGATGGTATGCCAATACATGCACACTATTTGTGCATCCCTGCTCAGAATATTTTCCAGGAAAGAAGAAAAAAGGAGTATCGAGACCTAGTCCCAGCTAGGTCCCTAAAAAAGAAGGCGCTCACTGGGGCACCTGGAGTAGTCATCCACCCTCCTGGGATGACCACGTACCCCGAGAAGAGGGGGCCGAGCTCCTGCGCTTTGTTTGCCCGGGTTTCCAGCCGACCGCAATCCCGGGACCGGCCCGTGTGCTCCCGGTTCTGCCCAGCCAGACTTTCCCCCCCCCTCCCATGGGACTGAACCCCAAACAGGCAGCGGGGAGAGGAGGGGGGCGCCGCAGGAGACCCCCCCTCTGCTGCCCCAAGGCTCAGCCCCAGGGGACGCAGGCTGCCGCCTTCAAGGATCCGACCAGGCGAGAGAGAACCGGCAAAGAGGCGCAGAGAGCAGGGAAGCTGCGCGAGGCGGGGAGGGGCGGGGGTGGGGGAGGAATGAGGGGGGAGGCCCGCGCGCCTCCAAGGCCGGACCCTTCCCCGCAGGAGGGGCGCCTCCCCGAGTTGCGCGGGGAGCCGCCTTTTGCAAGCGGGAGGAGTTCGGGCAGGGCGAGCGACCTGAGCCGAACCGAGCGCCCCCCCCCCACCAGGGCGGGGGGGGGTGGGAGGAGCGCCGCGTCGCTGGTGGGCGACCCTCCGCCTTTTCGGGTTGCTCGTCAGCACGCGCCCCTCCTGCGGCGGGGGGGGAAACCCGGATTAAGGCCGAGCAGCTCCGGACGCGGAGAGTGGATCGCCCCCTCCGCCTTCCTCCTCTTCCTCCCTCCTCTTCCTCCTCCTCCTCCTCCCCTCCCCGCCAATTTCCTTCTCGTCCTCTCCACCAACGTCGGGACCGCCGCGGGGAGATCCCGGGCAAAAGCGACGGCGGGCAGCCATGGAGGCGGCGGCGGGTCGAAGAAGCTCTCCGTGCCCGGTTCTGCGCGCCCCTCTTTGGCCGAGGCTTTGCTGCCTGCTACTCCTGCTCCCCCGGCCGAGCAGCGGCACCTGGACCCGCGCGGGGCAGCAATTCGCCTCCCGCAGGTAAGAGGCGAGCCTTTGCCCCTTCCCTCCCTCCCTCCCCCGACCCGGCGCCCCTCACCCCGCGTTCAAGACCGGACCCTGGAACCGAGGAGGTCCGGGCCGAGCGAAGCCGCGGGCTAGCACGGCCGGCCGGCCTGCCTCTCGCCTTCCCCGCGCTGCAGGAGCCCCAGGTTAACAGAAGGGACCTTTGGAGGTCTTCTAGTCCAACCGCCTGCTATGATGCTCCTGAAGAGGGGAGGCTCCGCTTTTAACGACCGACAGGACAGGACTTGGGCCGTGATTTCTTCGCAGCTGCGTTCGTACAGCGAGGCTGCCTTGCCCAGATGCCCGTTCTCACCACCCGTCGGACCCCGAGCGAGCCGACACGGGCCAGGCCAGCGTGTTTGCGGGAATGCAGCCCTGCGGGAGCGGGCAAAACCAAAAAAGAAACGGGCGTGTGATGAATGGGCATTCAATTCACTCTGGATGGGTGTTGTGTGTGAATGCAACGCTGGTTTTTTTTTTTGGAGCGGGGAAGCAAAGCTTGGATTGCCCAGAATCTTGCATCTCAGTTTATGGAAGAAGCCTTTATCTGCCTGGGCTGGGGAATCTGCATTACAACCTAAACAAATCAAGAAACCATCATTATGGCATATACTGTATATCATGCTGTGCCTGAACCCAGCTGTAGCATAGAGCTCTAGGAATTTGCAGCCTTGTTTTTTTTTTAAAGCAAGATCTAGTTGCAGGGAGTTCCTTAGGTTCAGGATGCTTTGTATGTGCCATGCCCCGGTCAGAGTCTCACTTGGAGCTGGAAGCTGAACAGCAGGGAGTGGGAGAGTGGCTCCAGAAACTTGGCTTTGGAAGAAAGTGGGAAGGGCAAAGTCCGGCTGGGCAGAGCAGGGAAGAGGTAGAACAAGGGAAAGGGAACTCAGAGGAAGACCCAGGCCCATCCCCCCTCTTCCTCCTAGGGCACGTAAGAGAGAACGGAGAAGAGAGCAACATGGGTTGCCTGGCTTACGGGGGAGGAACGGGCCCCGATTCCCTTCATTAGCTGCAGCTTGGAAATACAGTGTATAAAAGAGGAAGCTGCGCACAGCAAGTGGTTGGGAGCAAATCGTCCTGGCATATCTGTGTTCCTGGCATCTTGGGGTCAAATCACCTCCCAGCCTTACTCCCGAGTCGCCCCTTTTGTCTTAACTGCTGTCGCCTTCTGGCAGCTCTGTGCATGCGCGTACTGGAAACAGGCTCCCCTTGTTCCTCTGCCTTGCTGCTCCCAGCACCCCACTCCCAGGCGGCCCTGGCCCCATCTCTGCATCGGACGCGGGACCCTCGTCCAAATCCACCCCAGACTCCAGACCGGCCCACGTTCCTCCCCATTGTCCGACTCTGCTGCCGTCTTCGCAGGCTGCCGACGGACCACAACGAAAGCCCGTCCCAAGACGGCCTCTATGAGTCCCGGTTTGGGGGTTCCACGGTAGCCCCCTTGAGTTTTTCATGCCAGCCAGCCAACCCCAGTCCTTCTGCTTCATCAAGGCTCAGAGAAGCTGTTTTGCTGGTGGAACTCTGGATTTCCCCCCCCCCCCCCGCCGCCGCTTTTCCCGCTACAACAGAGTTAAAATCATCCAAGGGCATTGCTGACAACATCAGTTGCGACAGCAAGCCAGTTTTGGCCTCTGTATTTGGCTGGGGTCAGGATCCTTCCCGCTCTCATGGCTCCACATGTGAAAACGGAGAAGAAGGGGAAAAAAAATATATCAGAACCTGGATAACAACAGGGAGGAAGAGGAAGTTGCCGCGTTTCCTCCGGATGAATGACGGAAGGAGGGTGCCTTTAATTATAGACCCGAGACCGGAAGAGGGGGTCATGGAGACGCCAGACTGGACCGCTGGGCTTCCTCTGGAGTGGACTATCAGCAGCCTGGACCAGAGGGGCACGGCCGAGTCCCCAAGTGCCCCCAACTTCTGTGGGCATCAGATAACAGATAATCAAGAGTTGGAAGGGACCTTGTAGGTCATCTAGTCCAACCCTCTGCCCAAGCAGGAGACCCTACACTGTTTTTGACAAATGGCAGTCCAGTTCTCTTATTGAAAGCCTCCAGGGAGGACTCTCCCACAACTTCCGAAGGCAAGCTGTCCCATTGAATATAGAATAACGGAGTTGGGAAGGGACCTTGTAGGTCATCTAGTCCAACCCCCCACCCCACCCAAGCAGGAGACCCTACACCACTTCTGACAGATGGCAGTCCAGTCTCTTCTTGAAAGCCTCCAGGGATGAAGTTCCCACAACTTCCAAAGGCAACTTCTGTTCCATGGGTTGATGGTTCTCCCTGTCAGAAAGTTTCTCCTTATTTCCAGGTTGAATCTCTCCTTGATCAGTTTCCATCCATTATTCCTTGTCTGGCCTTCAGGTGCTTTGGAAAATACCTTGGCTGCCTCCTCCTCCTCTCTGGGGCAGCCCCTCAAATATTGGAAGGCTGCTCTCCTGTCTCCCCTGGTCCTTCTCTTCCCTAGACTAGCCAGTCCCGGTTCCTGCAACCGTTCATCGCATGTTTTAGTCTCCAATCCCCTCATCATCCTGGTTGCTCTTCTCTGTACGTTTTCTAGAGTCTTCAACTCCGAGGGTGGCACCCGTATTGCCTACTCCCAGACGCCTAGTTGGGTGGGCGGGTTGGGATGAGGGGACCCCTAAGGTGGTCTTGCAGCTGGAGGAGGGGAGTAGGTGAGAGAGTAGAGAATTGTGCCTTCCGCTCCTCTGAGCCGCTGGCACGCCTCCATCCAGCTGCGGGCAGGCCTCCAATCCCTCCAGATGCTGAGCCCAGCATTCCAGCAGCAATTGTGGTCACTTCCAAAGCAGAGACCTTTTAACCTCCTGTTCCCAGCCAAGTCCTCTGGCCAGGGGATTGTCCGGCCGACCGACCGACCGACCGGCCACCCACAGGCCTTCAGAAGAATCTGAATTACAGGGGAAAGAGGCGCATAAAGAGCCTTTTGTGATACGTGGGGCCTAGCAGCCAAGGCGATCTGTTGCTCTCCCACAGGACTGGCAAAGGGGGCTGCAGCAGGCTGGCAAAGGACGTTGCAAGCCAACATTCCCGACATGTTGGCTTGCAAAAATCGGTAAGAGATTCCCCAAAAGGCTTGGGAAGCAGAACATTCCCAGGTAGTATTAAACTATGACGGGGTTTATTTCTTCGAGCCGTAATAGCATGCTAAGCGAACAGCAAATTTTATTAGCTCAGATGGAGATGATTGTGTGAATGCAAGAGGAAATCCAGAGGACAAGGAGTGTTCAGAGTTTGGTGAGGAGTTTGTGGCCGTTCCCGTTGCTTTTGGTTTTTATTTATCGTGGATCTAATTAAACTGTAATATAATTGAAGTCTTCTCACTGGGAAGAGGCGCCTGCTGCTGACTCGATTCCCTCCCGGGCAGTGCCCAAAATGATTTTTTTAAAAAAATTCTTTGTGGGTTTTTAAGGGAGCTCTGGGCTCATTCGAAATGCACGTTCTGCATGGCAGCATCTGGTTCTTCTGTCTACTAATTTTCCTGTTTATCTTCTCACTGGTTTTCCTTAATGTGTTTGTTTACATTGTGCATGTTAATTGCCACTCAGGAAATTCTCCTGCTGTGTTAACAGCATTGAAAAAAACTCTGTCTTCCTTCCCATCCCTCTCTCTCTTCCTCCCTCTCACTCTCTCCTCTCTCCCTCTCTCCTCTCTCTCTTCCTCCCTCCCTCCCTTGTCTCTATCTCTTCCTTCCTCCCCCCCTCTCCTCTCTCTTCCTCCCTCCCTCTCTTGTCTCTATCTCTTCCTTCCTTCTTCTCTCTCCTCTCTCTTCAACTTCCCCCCTCTCTCTGTCACTGTCTCTTCCTCCCCCCATCCCTCTCTCTTCCTCCCTCCCTCTCTCCTCTCTCTCTCCCTCCCTCCCTCCCTCTCTTGTCTCTATCTCTTCCTTCTTCCCCATCCCTCTCTCTCTTTCTCCCTCCCTCCCTCCCTCCGTCTCTATCTCTTCCTTCCTCCCCATCCCTCTCTCTTCCTCCCTTCCTCTTCCTCTCTCATCTCTCTCTTTCTCCCTCCCTCCCTCCATCTCTATCTCTTCCTTCCTCCCCATCCCTCTCTCTCTTCCTCCCTCCCACTCTCTCCTCTCTCCCTCTCTCCTCTCTCTCTTCCTCCCTCCCTCCCTCTCTTGTCTCTATCTCTTCCTCCCTTCTTCTCTCCCCTCTCTTCCAACCTCCCCCCTCTCTCTGTCACTGTCTCTTCCTCCCTCCCCCTCCCTCTCTCTTCCCCCCTCCCTCTCCCTCTCCCTGCAGCTGGTCATTTGCATCCTTTTAGAGGGTCCTTGAAGCCACTTGGAGAGGTTTCTCTGTGTCCCCAGGGTCACCTGAGGGGTGCAAACGGTTCCTGTCGGTCTACCATTTTTCTCCTCTGGAAATCCATTCCTGCTCCCACCCCGTTCCAAGGGCGTTCATCCCAAATTGTATCGGTAAAAGTCAGCAGGGATAACCTCTGTCACCCAGGGGGGTGATCGTCCCCAAAGCACCTTCGGGGCCCTTGGACCACCACAATTCGACAGTGCGAGGTGTGGACGTGGCTCGGGGAACGTGGGCGATTATTAAGGGCTGCTTGGGGCTCTCGGCCAGGGATTCCCCCTTGTCCTTCTTTGCCTCCCACCAGCCATCTTCCTTCCCGGAGGTGCAAAGTTAGTTCCCTGGCAAGAGACCAGACGAAATCCTTCTGGAAACTTCTCCGCCTCCCGTTTTGGTGCCAGGCAATTGAATGAGCCCTGTCTTCCTCCTAATGTTTATTGATGGGTTTCTGTCAGCCCCTGTAGGAAGTTGGAACTTAATGCTTGCTGTCCAGGGATTCGGCAGTTCCCTCGCTGAATGCTTTCCCCCCCCCTCTTCCCCCCTCCCTCCCCAGGTCTGAATCAATGGGCCCCAAAAAGGAAAATTAACTCCAAATAAGGGAATGATTAGCAGCGGATGTGCTCTTCCCCCGACGGGCTGGGAGTTTCTTTGATAAATAGGAAGGCTCGTAAAGGAGAATATTTATGGCTCAGGGTGGACGTGAGGGCTCCTGGGTGCTCTCTGAGCTTGGATATTTTCTTGCAGACGTTTGGTTACCAAACTAGGTAACATCACCTAGAAGGGCGTGGGGTTTGCGGAGAGGAGGAGGAGGAGGAAAGGGAAAGAGGAGGAGGAGGAGGAGGAGGAGGAGGAGGAGGAGGAGGAGGACTGTAAAGTCCTTGGTGCTCTCTGAGTTTGCCTGTTTTCTTCTAGACATCTCATGACCCAACTAGGTAACATCATCAGTGCTAGAAGAGACTGGGGTTTGAGGAGAGGAGAAGGAAGGAGGAGAAGGAGAAGAGAAGGAGAAGGAGGAGAAAGAGGACTGTTGGTTGCTTGGTGCTCTCTGAGTTTGCCTGTTTTCTTGCAGACGTCTCATGACCCAACTAGGTAACATCATCAGTGCTAGAAGGGAATGGGGTTTGTGGAGAGGAGGAGAAGGAACAGGAAAGAGGAGGAGGAGGAGAAGGAGGAGAGAAGGAGGAGGAGGAAGAAGAACAAGAGAAAGAGACAGAGAAAGAGAGAAGGAGAGGAGAAGCAAAGAGGAGAGGAAAAGAAGAAGAAAGAGGCCAATCGTATGACATGTTCACCTCGCATTTCGATAAAAGCACAAGAGGGCAAAAGTGCAATCTCTAAAATTGTCGCTTCTAAAAGGTTGCAAGAGGGGACGGCCGATTTGTGCAAGCTTGAAGGGCTGGAGAGATGATGGAGAGGTGGAGAGAGGAGAGGCACGGGGGCGGGTGGGGGTCACGAACAACCCCACCCCCCATGTGGAATGGCGGGTGGTGGAGGAGTTTCCTTTCCTTCCTCCAGCCTCCCCTTCTGCGATAGATGACTCTGGGGTGGAAAATTTCAGCCTCTCCAGATCACTTGGCAGCCACTGGGGAAGTGGGGGGGAGGGAATTCCCCCTTCCCTCCTGCCTTTTCAGAGGGGTTTGCAGCTGGGCCCTTTTGGCACCCTTTCCCAAGTCCTCCTTCCTCCCACCTCCTGTGTGACGGGCACCCGGCACCCGATCTCCTCTTTGTTGGCCAAATGGCCAAGAGCCCGTGTGGTTCCACGCCAACAATGAACGCCTTCACCCGGCTCCCCAGCAGCCTTCCTCAGCTGGGGCGAACGGCCGGGCTGCATTGTGTGTGTGTGTGTGTGGAGAAAGATAGCTTTTGTTTGAGTTAAGCCACCACGGTCTGGATGATCTGGTTCTCCCAGGGAGATCCCGAAGATCCTGCCCTGGATTCTCCTTCTTGGAAAGCAAAGAAATAAACGGATGGGGGTAGTAATAAAGAACTGAAGAAATGTAGTTAAAGAAATGTCGTGAGATATATCATAGCATTAAGCAGAGAGTTACTCTATAGGCATTTGCTATCTTGCTGTAAGGCATGTGTTTTCTTGTACGTGTAGAAGTATTTCTGTGAAGCATTTATCACTCTATAGGCATTTCTTACCTTGCTGTTGTAGAAAAGGTTTCCTTAACCTTTCACTTGTTGTAAAACAATTATGCCTGCAGTCAGTTCCCTCCCTCTCCTATGAAGACACGTGATTGTCCCGTCTAAATCAATCTGAATCCATCTGTTTTCCTGGGTTGATATGTTTCACCCCAACATCACCCCCTGGGAAGGAAACGTACCTCTTTGGGAATGTAGCAACTTCCATCCGGATCCACACCTTTGAAGTATGCTGTTAGTAGCCTCCTTAGGTGGTCAATTGTAATCGATTAGTAGGACAATAGGAGAAGAGATAATGAAAGGTAAACATTGCCTTTTTGCAGGAAAGATGTAAATCTAAGTTAGAGAGTTTTGCAATGCAGTTACTCGACTTCTAAGGGTCTTAAAGGTGTAGGAAGACTCTACTTTCTCTATATCCTTTATAGCCTTCCTCTCATATCTATCTTGTGTGCATGTGAGGATAGATCTTACCCTATCCATATTAATCAATTAAAGTTAGATTTTGTTCTTCAAAGCCTCTGCTTAACTTCATCTTTGGCACATTGTGATCTTAAGTTATAGCCAGATTTTACAAAACAAAAGCCGGAGCCGAATTAAACTGGGTACAAGAACCTGGAAAGTTGTGTTTGTAAATGCAGAATTTTCCATGCACCAAATGAAACTTTTAGCCCCGTGAGCCAAAGTGTTGGTCTGTGTCTTCTGGCTTTGGAGATGCCTGGATAAGTTGAGCAGCTTTCCACATTGCACCAATGCATGGTTTGTTTAATTCTGGTTTGTTGAGTAAGGTGGCGTTGTTTAATCATTGGAATCGGGTCAGTTTAGGAAATTCTAGCTGAATTAGCTGGCGCCTGAAATCCACGTATTAATTTGCAAACTTGTAGGAGAAGTTGGCTAAAGGCCAGGCTTATCTAACCATCATCCTCTTTCCCATACAGCAGTTCATCACTGGCACATCCTTATCACATAGAATGTGCCATCCTTTTCAGGGGCGAAAGGTTGCAAGTCAGCACGCTGTATGGATGCATAAAAATTACATAGGTCACGCTCAAAGACAAACTCCATTTGAGTGAAGTCAACCAAAAAATGAGTTAAATGGGGCTTGTAATTATTCTCTGTGCTTTGATTCTTGGTCCTTTCTGCTGTATTAAAAATCACACTTTAGGGACAGTTTTTAGAGGGATTTGGGGGACTTTGAGGAGGGGGTTGGCCTTTCAAGGCTCCATCTGGTTTCTAACACGGGCAAAAATGGCCCAGAAGGAGTGGCAGAATCTAAGGGTAGAATGAAAAGAAGAACCGGCCTGGAATCTGTACATAGCTGCAAGCAAACTAAAAACCAATCTCCTCTGAATTTTGCTAGTCCTTATCGAACTCCAAGCAGGTGCAAAACATTAGTTGAATAGATTCCTGGACATGGCCATGAGTAGCAGTAAACCAGTTCAATCCAACTTTCATATGTGGACCTGATGTTTTTGCACCCAGCCAATGATGGCTAAGTGGACGGCTATGCACCCAGCCAATGATGGCTAATAAGGACTGTTGACTCTACTTCTGAGTTATGACTATCCAAATTCATTTATTTCCAACGTGAGCTCCTTCTGTCACTGGCAGCGCCCACAAATTTTATATATATATAAAAGCGGAATACCACTCACGCATCATCACAAAATCTCCAGAACCGTAAAGCCTGCAAAACGTGAAATTTGTCACGTAGGTTCCTCTTGGCTTCTACGGGCTCACTAAGAAAGGATTTTTCGAAATGATCACCAGAACATTTAGTATTTCCTATATTATTATTATTAACACGCTCTGATGCTAAGGAGTTCTACTCCCCCTACCCACCTGAAATCTCTGCCAAATGCAAAACACAAGGAGAGGAGTTTCATTTTTCCAGCACCAAGCAGCTTTAGTACAGAACAGTTGAGCTAAGCCACGCCCAGGCTCCTTGCTAGCTCCTTCTTGCTCACACAGCAAATACTGTTTCAGTTTCCAAACAGCCCTCAACTCTCTCACACATGGACAGGACGCTAGGCAGATAAATACCGATGGATGCTGGTAGGCAGAGACAGATTTTTTTTTGCCCGATCACATAGTTTCATAGCGAAGCAGGGGGTATATTTTGATGGTTGAAATCTTGCAAGAGCATCTGACCTTACTGGATGGTGCCTCCTAAGAGTTTGGTAAGTTTACAAGATTCTAGGCTGGCACTCCAATTTTGGACGGATTGCAAGGCCTTTCTTTAAACCAAAATGAGGTTTACTTTTGAAGTCTTGCAGAGTGGAAACGTGGGCTCTGGGCCTGAGGCGCCACATGGCCAACCCACCGGGGTTGTGGTGAACTTCAAAGTTGATGCCGTCGGGGGCAACATTAAATCCACCCTTGGGAGGGGCTGCCCTTGTTGACATCCTGTCTTTGTGGTCTCTTTCAGAAACTGGTGTTCCTACACGGTGACCAAGACGGTTTCCTGTCACATCCAAAATGGCACCTATCTCCAGAGAGTTTTCCAAAATTGTCGTTGGCCTATGGGCTGTTCGGGGGGCAGGTAAGGACTCGGATGAGAGAGGGACATTTATTTTATTTTTATTTATTTATTTTAGTTTGTCAAGCATGGATGAGAGAACAAGTATAAGTATGAACATAACGTATAAACACATAAGTATAAACTGGTATAAGTACTACTGTTATTAAGTGTTGCAATAGGTAGGAATAAATAGGACATGGATGATAAGGCATGATGGTGCACTTTATTCAAAAGAAGAAGTTGCTGACTCTTGTCCTCCAGCTACAGGACGGTGATCCGACCGACGTACAAGCAGGCGTACAAGACGGTCACAGCTCTGGAGTGGAAATGTTGCCCTGGGCATTCAGGAGCCAACTGCGAAGCAGGTACCGGTCGAGCGCGCAACCTCTTGTGTGTTTGTGAGAGAGAATGACAAAGCTTGCATCTCTGTATAAAATACAGCCTTGGAAGACGCGTAGAGCTTCTAGCTGAATCAACCTTGATTGGTACCAAACCACCATGGGCCATAAACCTGATCACACACAATCATGGCTTTTATTCAATAATCCCCAGTTAAGCCCCAGGTTCCGTTGTAACAGGCACTAAATGCCCATGGTTGTGAGTTGAGAAATAAAGTGACTTTAGGACCCCTCTTCATATCTTTTTCTTTTGTTTTTTTCAGACACCGTCAGCTACCAAGATACTCCAGGTGCCTCACAGGGCATCTCTGCTCTGAGCAGACTGCCCATCCGACCTGCAACATATTCCGGTGAGGGACATTTATATTTCCTTTTTTTTTTTTAAAGTAAATAAAACAGGAAAAGGCCTGTTTTCACCAATCTGGAACAAGCGTAATTTCTAATGTTGGATTTTCCCCCCTTACCAGAGAGAGCCCTCTTGTGGAGTACTGTGAAGCCGTTACCATGGCAACTCCACAGCGCTGTACAGTAGAAGCCATTTTAAGGCAGTACGGTAGAAGCCATTTGAAGGCACAACAGGCTGTATTTTAACAGATCACAAGAACACCCCCCCCAAGGGGTGTTAGGGGTGTCTTACCCCCACAGTATTTGTTTCCAGAGAGTAAGTAATTTGTATACCAAGTTTAATTGAAATTGCTCAAGGCGTTCCAGAGTTATGCTGGAACGAACACACACACACACACACACAGCCGTTTAGATAGGTAGATAGATAGATTATATAGATATAGATATAGATAGATATATATAAAAAAAGAAGATAGAAGATTTCCAACGAACAAGAGCATTGCAAAGAAATTGCACGTCTTAGTTTGCTCCCTGCGATAACACAAGATCGAAAGGGGATGAAAGGAAAATGGGCGATTAAGAAATTTGAAATATAAAGAAATACACAGATAAATATGAGATATTGGAGCATGACGTTCCAGTGCTCGCGAGAGAAAACACCGAATTTCATCATCCTTTCTTCTGTCTTGTCCAAGAAAACATTAAAACTCCTTTCTCTGTTTGGACTCCAAACGCAGGTTGTTTCAACTGCAGCAAATTCTCTGAGCTTTTGGCAAAAGTCAACCTCCTGGAAGCCAAGGTCAGCCTTTTATTTTCTTCCTTTTGCAATAATTTTAATTTAGAACTGTATTTCTGAGCTCCCGCTGCAATGGGGAGGGGCAGCTGTATTTTGGGGCCTCTGTTCTCTGAAGCCTCTTCCGGGGGTGGGGGGAGATCATGGGGGGGGGACAATTGCATGATTGGATCCGTTCCTTTTTTTTTTTTTTTTTGGCCCCCAGGTAGCAACGTTCACGGCAGGTGAATCCAGTCCTTCGGCTGTATCTCGACGATGTTTGACCGCCTCGGGCGACGCTGCCCCCGACCCTTTTAATCGGTGGCCCTCTCAGGCCACACAAGGAAAACCCGGAGAAGAACGTGGGATGGGTGAGTGAGGGAGAAGGAAGGCTGCCTGCAATGGGTGCCTGCGTGGTACGTTCAAAAAAGTCAAGGTGGCAGCCATGGCAAGGTGATCGTAGAATAGAATAGAATAGAATAGAATAGAATAGAATAGAATTTGGAATAGAATAGAATAGAATAGAATAGAATAGAATAGAATAGAATAGAATAGAATAGAAGAATAGAATCTGAAATAATAGAATAGGAATAGAATAGAATTTAAATAGAATAGAATAGAATAGAATTTAGAATAGAATAGAATAGAATCTGAAATAATAGAATAGGAATAGGAACGGAATAGAATTTGGAATAGAATAGAATAGAATTTAGAATAAAATAGAATTTAGAATAGAACAGAATTTAGAATAGAATAGAATCTGAAATAATAGAATAGGAATAGAAATGGAATAGAATTTGGAATAGAATAGAATAGAATAGAATTTAGAATAGAATAGAATATGAAACAATAGAATAGGAGTAGGAATAGGAATAGGACTAGAAGAACAAGAGAAGAGAAGAGAAGAGAGAAGAGAAGAGAAGAGAAGAGAAGAGAAGAGAAGAGAAGAGAGAAGAGTAGAAATACAGACTACAGTAGAGGAGAGTAGAATGGAATGGAATAGAATATGAATAGAAAAGAAGAACAAAAAAGGAAGAGAAGAGAAATTTAGAACGGAATGGAATAGGAATAGAAGAACCAGAACCGGAACCAGAACCCGAACCAGAACACAGGCCTGAAGCGGGCGGGGGAGAATGATCTCCAGCTCCCTCTGGGCCCTCTCCCCAAATCCAGGGTTGTTAGTGGGCTGTGACCGAAGACGGCTGCACCCAGGGCATCTGGCACTCTCTCCTCTCCGCTCCGGCACTGGTTTCATTTCCTGCAGCTGGAAAGATTTATCTGCCCCCCCTCCCCACGACCCCCTACCCCCTCCTCCCCTGCAACACAACATATGCTTCTGGTTTGGTGTGTAAGCACTGAGAAAAACCGTCCGCCGGGGCCTCCATTTTGCACAAAGGGGTAGCTGGGAAGGGGTGCGTGTGGGATGGACAAGGGCTCCTGTTTTTTTGTGGGGAGGGGGGGAGGTTTAAGAGGGGAGGGGGCTGCTCCATTTTCCTCTGGAGAGGATGGGGAACGGACCTTCTTCGCCTCGCCCAGCGAAGAAGAAAAACAGCACCACCACAACTACAAATGCAAGAATATAACCGATTGGGGGAGAGGTCTTCGGGCAGCCTGGACCGAATTTACAACCCCTTCCCCTGCAACTCCTCCTAGTTGCATCGCAATGTAGCCCCCCCCACATCCCTCCCAAGTGGCTGGTTAGTAGCAAAGACACTTGGGGGGAGCTGGAGCAGGGAAGCTTCAGCGGCTTTCAATTAGCTATAAATTACACGTAGAGGTCAGTTGCCCTGAATTTTGATCTCCGTTTTATTCATTTTTTTTATTCATTTGATTTGTCCATCGCTTACGAGATAACAGGTATAAGTATATACATAGTTATGAATACATGAAATTGGTACATATCAGAAAAATAAAAGAGACAATAGGACAGGGACGGTAGGCATGTTGGTGCGCTTATGCAAGCCCCTTACAGACCACTTAGGAAAGGGGTGAGGTCAATAGTAGACAGTCTAAGGTGAAAGTTTTGGGGGTTTGGGGAAAAAAACCACAGAGTCAGGTAGAGGATTCCAGACATTGACCCCTCTGTGGCTGAAGTCGTATTTCCTGCAATCAAGTTTGGTGCGGTTTACCTTGAGTTTGTATCTATTGTGTGCTCTTGTGTTGTTGTGGTTGACGCTGAAGTATTCATTGACCGGTAGGACATTGCAATGTATGATTTTACATACTATACTTAGATCAGACTGAAGACGGCTAGGTCCAGAATTTCAAGTCCGGTGGCATAAGGTATTCTACAACGAGTAGAGGAGTGGAGAACTCTTGTGAAATATTTCTGGACTTTCTCCACTGTGCTAATATCAGACACGTAATGCGGGTTCCAGACTGTATTCGAGTATTGGTCTAGCAAATGTTTCGTATGCTCTAGTTAGTAGTGTGAAAAACTGGTCATTTTAAAAAAAATGCTGCTGTAAACGTCGGTCACTAAAAGAACTCTTGAAATTTGAGGACTCTTTGTTCCTGCAGTTACAATCCCGTTGATTAATATCCCCCAAATTAACAAGCTTGCAAAACTTTTACTGAGTTTCCCCTTCTCTCTCTTTTGTGCTCCAGGAAAATTGGCTTCCCAAGGGCCCCCGGGCCCCATAGGGCCTAAGGGGGATGCTGGGATCCGGGGCCCTTCGGGCCTTCCTGGGGTCAAGGGCCCTGTTGGACCACAGGGTAAGTAAGCTTCTTATGGGGTGCCCTCCTGGTTTTGCCCCCTGAATCTTGAGCACCTCAGTTCAGATTCTAAAGAACATGGATTAAAACCTGCCCTTGGAGTCTTTCCTGGGTGAACATCAGGGCAGGGCTGTGATTATAGCACTTAGCAATAATAATAATAAATAGCAATAGCGCTTAGACTTATAGGCCGCTTCACGGTGCTTTCCAGCCCTCTCTACGTGGTTTTACAGAGTCAGCCTGTTGCCCCCCAACAATCTGGGTCCCCATTTTACTCACCTTGGAAGAATGGATGACCGAGTCCACCTTGAGCCGGTCAGGATCGAACTGCTGGCAGTTGGCAGAATTAGCCTGCAATGCTGCACTCTAACCACTGCGCCACCACAGCCTAGTGAGTTGCCTTGCTTGTTCTCATCCTTCTCCACTGTCTGCCTTTATTTCTTCCAGGTCCCGTAGGTCCACCTGGTCCACCAGGACAAGATGGGGCCAGGGGCTTTCCTGGTGAGAAGGGTCTCCCAGGACCCCCGGGACCTCCGGGACCCCCGGCTCCAGTCGGGCCCCAAATTTCACCAATCCCAGATCAAGGTAAAATCCAAATAAAGCTGGCTGGGGAATGCTGGGAGTTGCAGTCCATGCATCTCAGAGCTTTCCTATAATTGTTTATGTGCAGAGAGGGAGAGGGAGAGAGAGAGGAGGGAAGGAGAGAGGAGGGAAGGAGAGAGAG